CTCTGAGCCATCAGCACAGAGCCCGATGCGGGGCTCGAACCCACAAACCGTGAGATCGTGACCTGAGCCGAAGTCGGACGCTTAACCGACGGAGCCACCCAGGCTCCCCAACAATGGTAGCACATTTAAAACTGCCCCGAGCTCTCTCCTCTCATGGAGCACCCTTGTTTGTGGCTTTGGAGGAGAGGTGGAAGGAGGGAAGGCAGGAGGGCTGGCCACTGGCTGGCTGGGGCAGTCCCGGGACACAGGGACACTGGGGAGGATTCCCTCTGCAGTTCAAATCTGTCTCCTCACCTGCTTGGCGAGTGTCAGTTGTCGCGTTTTGGCTTTCTCTGAGCCATAATTCACATGCCGTCGCACTCACCCATGTAACGCGTACAACTCAGTGGCTTTTGTCTCTCCATAGATGTGGGCAAGCATCATGTGGTAGAATTATTCCACGTTGGGACATTTCCGTCAACTCAAAAAGAAAGCCACGCCCTCTAGAAATCCCCCCACCTTCCCGTACATCCCTGTCCCTCGTCTAAGCCACCAAAAACCCACCGTCCCTATGGATTTGCCCATTCCACTGTCTCGTATGAACGGGGTCACGCAACGTACGGCCTTTTCCGTCTGGCTGCTTTCACGTGGCGTGATGTCTTCAAGGTCCATCTGTGTGGGAGCGTATGTCCGAACTTCATTCCTTTTTATGGCCCAACGGCCTGCCGATGACCTGTTCGTTTTGCCTGTCTGTTCATCTGTTGACGGACAGTTGGGTTGTTTCCCCCTCTTGGCGGCTGTCAGTGTTGCTGGCGTGAACGTGTCGGTCTTCTCAAAGCAGGGCTTCGTCCCGTGTTCCAGAGAACTCCGGGTCCTTCTCGGCCCCTCCTGCCAGCCGCTGAGGGAGCCCGTTTCTGTGTCCCCTGGAAGGTTCTGAAAGCCCTGGACAGCACCTGGTCCACCATGGAGTTTGAGCACGAGCCGCACCCGCGCACGGGCACCATGATGCTGAAGTCGGACGAGGTGCTGGTGGAGACACTGGAGGACAACCAGGTCCAGCTGCAGAACCTGATGATGTCCAAGTACCTGTCCCACTTCCTGAAGGAGGTGACGAGCTGGCAGCAGAAGCTGTCCACGGCGGACTCCGTCATCTCCATCTGGTTTGAGGTCCAGAGAACCTGGAGCCACCTGGAGAGCATCTTCATCGGCTCAGAAGACATCCGCGCCCAGCTGCCGGAGGACTCCAGGCGCTTCGACGGCATTGACCTGCAGTTCAAGGCGAGCACAGCCTTCTCCCTCCTCCCGGGCTTTTGCGGGAACGGCTCTGCGGAGAAAACGCGGCTACTGACGCTCTGCGGGGCGGGGGGGTCCCGTCTCTTCCCAGGCCCTGATGGAGGAGGCGGTGAAAACGCCCAACGTGGTGGAGGCCACCAACAAACCCGGCCTCTACGACAAACTCGAGAATCTGAAGAAGAGGTGGGTCCCCACGCCTGTCCGGGTGAGAGGCGTCCTGGCTGCAGGGACCTGAGCCATCGGCCCGCGCCCCGCCCCCTCCCCGGGCCATGACAGAGCAAACCCCCCTTCCTGGGGGCTCGTGCTCTCGGCCACAGGGTGCCACGCTGGCCACGCAGCATGTGTCCGGCCTCAGAGGAACTCCCGCAGCGTGTCAGGTCGGAAGGTCTGAATGAAACGGGCTGCGAGCCGGGCGTCTCCGGGGCTGTCAGCCCAGTGCGGACGGGGCTGGGCTGGGCTGGGCTGGAGGAGGCCTTCCCAGGACTGGGCCTCAACAGCCCCCTTTCCTGCCCCCTCCTAGCCTGGCCGTGTGCGAAAAGGCCTTGGCGGAATATTTAGAGACCAAAAGACTGGCTTTCCCGAGGTTCTACTTTGTCTCCTCGGCTGACCTCCTGGACATTCTCTCCAACGGAAACAACCCCGTGGAGGTAGGTGGGCCCCGGGCGGCCCTGTGCTCGTCCCCTCGGCAGCCCTGGCTGGGGTGGAGGCGTGTGGGTGCACGTCACCTCCACAAGGCCGTCCGCGCCAGAAACTGCTGGGGGCCCGGCCATGACCGCGTCACTGGACGCGTCTCAGATCCTGTCCCATACCTCCCGTGCCTCGTTGTCCTCATCTGGAAGATGGGTTGGAGGCCCGGGGCTTGGTGAGCCGCTGCTTCTCAGAGACCCGCCCGCTGGCTGGTCCTAACAGACCCCAGGCCCCGAGAGCCAGGAGGAGAGGTGTCCTTGAGGCTCTGCTGAAAGAGAAAAGGGTAACTAACTAAGCAGGTGGGGGAAACGACTATATTTCACTATACTTTCCTTGAATCGTAAAGTCACAGGACGGCGCGGGGTGGCCCAGGGACACGGCCTTGTCAAGGAAACGGAATCTTCCGGAACAGACCTTTGTCTCTCAGTGCCGGCTCCCGCCTCAGAGCCCTCTGCTGTGCCCTTGGTTGGTCACGCGTGTTTGGTCATCACCGATCAGAGGAGGGGGAGAGAAGCAGGCCGCGTGCCCCCCCCCCCCAGTCCCTGGTTCACCTGACCCAGTGTCTGCCCTGTCCCGCCCCAGGTGGGCCGTCACCTGGCCAAGCTCTTCGACAGCCTGTGCAAGCTGGAGTTCCGCCTCGATGACGACAGGAAGCCTCTCAAAGTCGGCCTGGGCATGCACAGCAAGGAAGACGAGTACGTTCACTTTGACCAAGAGTGTGACCTCTCGGGGCAGGTGAGCGCCACGGGCACATCCACGCTGGAGGGACAGCGGGGACCTCTGGCGGGGGGTGTCGGCACGGCCGCCGGCCCGTGACGGTCCTTCTCTCGAATAAAAGCTTCACCAGCTTCCTTACAGCATTTCCAGAAACGCCTGCCTGAAGCGTATCTTGCGAGCCAACAGCCAGAAGAGGAGGGGTGGGGAGGGGAGGTTTCTGACACAGTCCAGCTGTTCGAGGGCTTGTGGGGGGACCGCCTGGAGGGGCCCCGAACAGTCAGATCTAGGGCTTTGACCAGAGAGCTCTCCTCACCTCGGGCGGCCCGTTGCCTTCTCTAGCCTCCCTGAGAGGCCACCTCCTGCCGACAGAAACTTCCGGCAGCCCCTTGTCCACCACCCCCCACCCCCGTCTCATTGCCCAACTCAGCAACCAAATGGGATTTCGACATCATCCTAAACGAAATGTAGCTCAGAGAAATTCGCTGGGGGAGGAAAGAAGAAGATCTCAGGGGCGCCTGGGGGGCTCAGTCGGTTAAGCATCCGACTTTGGCTCAAGGAAAATCAGGACAAGGTTGGCAGGGCTGGGGCAAGAGCCAGTCACGGAGGCGTGTTCAGACCCGCTTCCCCCCCGGTTAGCTCCTTACAGACACAGTTGGCCTGCACCATCTTTAGTCTAAAAGAAAAACCAACCTG